CCGCGGGGACGCTAAGCCCCGGAAGCACCTCAAGGTAGGTATACGGGTGGTCAACAAGTGGTCTGCCCTGAAAGAAGAAGCTGTAGAAGCCTCCTCCATCCACAACTTTAAGGCCAAATTCGACTCAGTATTTGGACGTCAAAATAACTTGTAATACAACAGAAACAACAAAGTTGTTAGCAGGGGGAGGTTGTCAGGGGGGGGGAGGGGTGAGAGAGAGGGGGGGGGGTGTCAACAACCCACCCCAGTACCAACACCCCCCACCCCAGCTACACAGACCCCCCCCCCCTTTACCGTCCACAGCCACAGGACAAACACCTCACCAGACAGGAATTGTTTGCAGGCGAGGAGTCACAATAACGTGGCTGAAGTATGTTGACCAGACCACACACTAGAAGTTGAAGGGACGACGACGACGTTTCGGTCCGTCCTGGACCATTGACCAGACCACACACTAGAAGTTGAAGGGACGACGACGACGTTTCGGTCCGTCCTGAACCATTCTCACGTCGATTCGAGAATGGTCCAGGACGGACCGAAACGTCGTCGTCCCTTCAACTTCTAGTGTGTGGTCTGGTCAACAGGAATTGTTACATACCAGGATATTAATACCGGTATGTAACAGGTAAAACCCCCGTTGAATTAGCTCTTAATTTACATATGCATAGAGGCCAAATTGTCAAAGAACGTTATGTAAAGACAGATTCACCAGTTTGAATAGGCTGTGTATCTTGTTATTAAAATCACAATTATTTGTATAATTTTTGTATTTCGAGACTCATTTTTGCCTAGACGGTTGAGACGTGAGGGGACACCGGGTCACGACCTCTGACCACAGCAGGAAATAATTGGTCAAACCTGGCTAGGGTTACCGGTACTCTACCGGTGAGTACCTTGCTCCTGCGGCCAGCACCTGGTCCTCTCTCTCTCCTCCACCTGCTGGAGGACCTGGAGGCCAGTACTGGGACGGCTCTCTGTCACAGCTGGTGTCACCGGTACTCTGGTACTCCAACTGACACAGATCTGATCCCCCGTACATGAAAGTGTCACCCACCCGCCACCACCTGCCACCACCTGCCACCACCTTCCACCACCTGCCACCACCTTCCACCACCTGCCACCACCTTCCACCACCTTCCACCACCTGCCACCACCTTCCACTACCTGCCACCACCTTCCACCACCTTCCACCACCTTCCACCACCTTCCACCACCTGCCACCACCTTCCACCACCTGCCACCACCTGCCACCACCTTCCACCACCTTCCACCACCTTCCACCACCTGCCACCACCTTCCACCACCTGCCACCACCTTCCACCACCTGCCACCACCTTCCACCACCTGCCACCACCTTCCACCACCTTCCACCACCTTCCACCACCTTCCACCACCTTCCACCACCTGCCACCACCTTCCACCACCTGCCACCACCTTCCACCACCTGCCACCACCTTCCACCACCTGCCACCACCTTCCACCACCTGCCACCACCAAAATCCCAACACAAACCCCACACCATAAACACCCAGCTGTCGCACCTCTAAGGCGTCGTTGGGCAGTTAACGGAATAATTTAACATCCATCCTAATTGTATAAAGTTAATACAACACTCAAAATACAACCTAGAAAATGTAGCACACACATTACGCTATGTTAAGATACGTTCTCGTAGATACAGAACGTTCTGTAATGATGTTATTCACTAACTCAGTTACCAATAAAGTTAGTGACTTGGAGGCTGTGATGAACAGCTTCTGAGGCCAGAGAATGGGGGATTTATGAGGGGTCGTCCATAGGGGAGATATAGAGGTCAAAATGGGGGGGTCGTTTCATGTAGCACTGGCTATGGTGAGCCCGTCCTCTCACCATCCTCTGATACACCATATATACAAACTATAAGGTCATGGGGGTAGAGGGGCAAGGTGACCTCAAGGTGATCTTTATATCATAAGGATATATATATATATATATATATATATATATATATATATATATATATATATATATATATATATATATAGATAGATAGATAGATAGATAGATAGATAGATATATATAACCTATATAGTGAGCTAGTTGGTCAGGCTAGGAGGCAAGGTGGTGCTCCTTGACCTCATATAATCTAAGGTCACACAGCTCATGACCTGACCTTAAACACGTCAGTCAATGACGTACTCACTGGATTTAAATGCATATTGGGAATTTTATTTGTTGGATAATTTATACACTCGCGAGATTTTAAATGGGTGGTGATTTTAAATGGGTGGTGATTTTAAATGGGTGGTGATTTTAAATGGGTGGTGATTTTAAATGGGTGGTGATTTTAAATGGGTGGTGATTTTAAATGGGTGGTGATTTTAAATGGGTGGTGATTTTAAATGGGTGGTGATTCTAAATGGGTGGTGATTTTAAATGGGTGGTGATTTTAAATGGGTGGTGATTTTAAATGGGTGGTGATTTTAAATGGGTGGTGATTCTAAATGGGTGGTGATTTTAA